TGCGCTCTTAGGTTGCGCCACGGGTGGCACAAGCTCGCCCGTACCACAGATCGCGCCCATGGGCTGCGCCGCAGTTTGCGCCCCCCACTTGCGCCATAACTCACGCGGAGAGGTTCGGGCGCCATGGGATGCGCGTCCATAGGCTGCGCCAAGCTGGCGCCCGCAGGCTTCACCGTGGACCGCCGCTGCGTCGATCTACACTGCTTGGCGAGGCACCACACGTGCTGACCCAACACACTGTGTGAAGGCCCACGCTGGATTCGCTTCACGGACACGCAGTGCCCGGTCCTTGTTCAATTCGGGGTCCTGAAGTCCCGACCCTCTCCCCAGGGACGATTTTTCGTCGCGGGTCGTTGCTTGACGGTCCTGGGGCCCAGCGAGGTCCCCAGAAGGCCGAAGACTGCCAAGAACCATCCGACGTGACTCTGTCGTGGCGCGAGCATGACTGGGTGGGGGCCCGCGCTGGATTCGCTTGCGGCCCCCCCCCGAGCGAGGACCCCCGCAAGGGGCACAAGTCCGGGCGCGCACAGGGCGCATTCTCCAGCATCCCTGGCCAATGGCGTCGGTGACGCTGCGCGGGTGCATTCTCCGAGCCCGGCCTGCCTTGCTAGATGCCCAGGTTTGACATTATGGTTGCTGCTGCTGTTGATGTTGATGTTATTGTTGCTGCTGCTGCTGTTGTTATTGTTATTGTTAATGTTGCTGTTGCTGTTGCTGCTGTTGTTGCTGCTGCTGTCAGGGGGTGTTGTCGTTGTTGTTGCTGTTGTTGTTGGTGGTGGTGTTGGTGCTGTTGTTGATGGCGTTGTTGGTGGTGGAGTTGTTGTTGTGCTTGTTGTTGGTGGTGTTGGTGGTGGTGGTGCTGCTGCTGCTGATGTTGTTGCTGTCGTTCGTTACATTATTGCCTCTGTAGCGGCTTCCTAGATGGGGTCGGAATAGATGGGGGGTCGGAGGATCGCGCCGCACCGCCGATACATCGGCGATGCATCGGCTATGCACCAGCAATGCATCCTCGACGTCGGCGATGCATCAGCGACGCCGACGCGAAGCAAATCGGGCCCCACATCGAGCCGCATCGGCGACGCACCAGCGATGCGGCGCGATCCTCCGACCCACTCTGCTCCGACCACACCCGGGAGGCCTAGACTCTGGGAATCGCCGAGGCTCTGACCGCGACGGGCTCCTCCTCCTCCTCCTCCTCCTCCTCCTCCTCCTCCTCCCCTCCTCCTCCTCCTCCTCCTCCTCCTCCCCCCCTCCCCCTCCTCCTCCTCCTCCTCATCCTCCTCCTCTCCTCCTCCTCCTCCTCCTCTCCTCCTCCTCCTCCTCCTCCTCCTCCTCCTCCTCCTCCTCCTCCTCCTCCTCCTCCTCCTCCTCCTCCTCCTCCTCCTCCTCCTCCTCCTCCTCCTCCTCCTCCTCCTCCTCGAGCGGCTCCTGTCCCTGCGCCGCGGCCGCCGTCGCCCACGGCAGGGCCCGGCGCCGCCGCTCGCCGCCATCGCTCCGCCGCGCGGCGGAGGGACGAGCAGCCCCGCCGAGGGGCCGAGGAGCGCACGCCGGGTGCGTGTCGTGCCGGCTTCGGCGTTGGTTTCTGGCACCGCGGGGATCGTTCAACCTCGAACGATCGGCCGCTCCTCATCCTCATCATCCTCATCATCATCAGCAGCATCATCATCATCAGCATCATCATCACCTTCATCAACAACAGCATCATCATCAGCAGCATTATCATCATCCTCATCATCATCATCATCATCATCATCAGCAGCATCATCATCACCATCATCAACAGCATCAGCATCATCATCAGCAGCAGCAGCAACATCAGCAGCATCATCATCAGCATCATCATCAGCATCATCATCAGCATCATCAGCATCAACAATAACCTCGAACGATCGGCCGTTTCCGAAACGTCCAAATCGTTCCACATCGAACGCGTTCAACGTTGGACGCCGCTGGCGGGGTCGCCGCCAGTCGACACGACACGAACCTACCGCACGTGACCAGTGCATCCCTGGTTGACGCTCCAGCAAAAAGTTGGAGCGGCCGGCCGTGGGCTATCTTCGGCCTCTGGGGGCCCCCGCCGGGCCTCAGGACCTCAGAAAACAACTCGGGGCGAAAAACCAGCCCGTGGGGGAAGTGGCCCAGACCTCCGCTGCCCACGCATCGAAAAATTGGAGCTGGCGAATGTTTGGGTTAATGGGTGGGCTATAAATGGGGGGCGGAGAGAGGTGAATTCCGGGCGATGCATTTTTCTCACAACTGGCGTTTTCGCGCGGCGTCGGGTCCCAGGAACATCACAGATCCATCTGGCTCGAGAGATGCTGCACACAGATGGAGTCTGGAGGTCCCAGTCGTGACTTTTCGCGATGTTGCATGTTCTGTGGCAACGTCGGATCTCAGGGAACTGTGCACATGCATCGATCCTGGCCACGCCCATCGGACGGGCCTGGCCAGGGTCGGTGGGGAAGGGGGAGTCGGGTGTTGCCAAAGGTGTCCCTGGCATTATGTTATGTTGCATTCATCGTACAAACCACATCCCAGAAATAATTTCGACCACCCAGCAAAAGTGTTGAAACGGTGTCGAACGAGTATCGCCTCCCAGGGTCCGACACGTGAAAACCCTAACTGTTCGGTAGCTTCTTGGTGCTCGAAATTCTCCCTGGTGCTCAAGGCCAAAATAAGCTGGAACATCACAACCCTGGCCCGAGGTGTCCGCAGCTGTTCGCGCCGCTGCAGGAGCCCCCATTGGGGCCCCTCTGGGCCTCGAGAGGGGTGCTCTGGAGGCCGTACTGCGCCTGCCCCGAGAGCTGGGCCAACGTGCGCCAGGGCCCCTTCTGGCAAGCGCCCAGCGGAAGGGGGAGGGAGAGGGGCAGAGGAGCCCTCCTCCTCCGCCTCCTCCTCCTCCTCCTCCTCCTCCTCTAGAGGAGGGGCCTGGGCTCCAGGGCAGCCCTGGCTCGGGCGGAGGCTGCAGGTGCGTTTTCCCGCCGACTTCCCTGCAGCTCGGGCCCGAAGCGGTTGCACGCACCCCCCCCTCTCAGTCCAGGAGGAGGGGGGGAAGACGAGGAGAGAACAGGGGGATGAACAAGAGGAGGCATACATTGAGGAGGAGAAAGAAGAGGATGCTGAGGAAGCGAAGGAGAAGGAGGAGGAACAGGTGGAGGAGGAGGAGGAGGAGAAGGAGGAGAAGGAGGAGAAGGAGGAGAAGGAGGAGAAGGAGGAGGAGGAAGAGGAGCCGAGGAGGAATAGGCTGAAGTTCTCGACCGCCGACTTCGCCGAAGCGCGTGTCATCACCCTCACAATGATCATCACCATACTCATAATTGTACTCATACTCATACTCAGACTCATGCTTATACTCATAATCATACTCATACTCATACTCATAATCATATTCATACTCATACTCATACTCATACTCATACTCATACTCATACTCATACTCATACTCATACTCATATTGATACTCATACTCTTACTCATACTCATACTCATACTCATACTCATACTCATACTCATACTCATACTCATACTCATACTCATACTGACACTAATGCTCATACTCATACGCATACTCATACTCATCAGCATCAACAACAACGTACTCATCACCAGCATCTTCCAAATCTTCATCGTCATCGACACCATCGTTCACCGTCATCAGCACCATCATCGACAGATCATCCACATCATCGTCATTATCATCGCCACCCATCATCAGCATCATCAGCAGCGGCAGCATCGACAGCATTGCCATGATCAGCATCCTAGTCATGATCATCATCATCAGCAGCAGCATCATCATCATCCCCCTCCTCCTCCTCCTGATCCTCCGTCTGCTCATCGTCATCAGCATCATCATCAGCAGCATCAGCATCAGCACTAGCTTCATCATCATAATCAACATCATCATCATCATCATCATCATCGGCATCATCATCATCATCAATTCCCTTCCTTATTATAAATAACTTTTCCCGGTCGCACCCCGAGGCCAGTTTTTTGGGGCGGCCGGACGTTTCGCCTGAGACTTCCTCACCAGTTATGACTCTGAAGCTTAGAAGTTGGAAACCGTTTCACAAATGGAGGGCGGCTCGTTCCCAAATGTGGCTCTCGCCCTAGCTCGGCGCACATTCGTCTTAAAAATGTGTGAGAGCTTCACGGATTGAGGGCGGGCCGTTTTCAAAATGTGGCTCTCGCCTTAGCGCCGCGCACATGCTTTTTGAAAAATTGCAAGAGCTTCACGGATTGAGGGCGGGTCGTTTTCAAAATGTGGTTCTCGCCTTAGCTCGGCGCACATTCGTCTTAAAAATGTGTGAGAGGTTCACGGATTGAGGGCGGGTTGTTTTCAAAATGTGGCTCTCGCCTCAGCGCCGCACACATGCGTTTTGAACAATTGCAAGAGCTTCACGGATTGAGGGCGGGTCGTTTTCAAAATGTGGCTCTCGCCTTAGCGCGGCGCACATTCGTTTACACGAATGCCAAATGTTCACGGATTGAGGGCGGGTTGTTTTCAAAATGTGGTTCTCGCCTCAGCGCCCCGCACATCCGTCTACACAAATTCTCAAGAATTTCACGGATTCCCATAATCAACGTACCAGAAATGGTGTTCTGAAAGGATTCAGGATTATGCGGGTGCAACAGTCACGATGATTCTGTGTTGACGTCCTAGGAATGGCGTTCTGGCACCATTCAGAATCGTCCATACGCAACAGTCAGGTTGATCCATGGAGTTGGAATCCCGAAAACATTTTTTTGGCATGCTTCACGGTCTTCAAGCGGTTGTCTTCCAACGAGGCAGCTCCATCAATGGAAATGAACCGTTGTAGGGGCCTATGAAGAGGGAGCTTGGAGGGAGGGTGTATTACAACATCGTTGATGACTACACTGGTCACCATCATCATCCTCATCCTCATCATCATCCTCATACCCATCCTCATCCTCATCCTCATCAGCATCGTCATCAACGTCCTCATCTACCATCTTCATCATCGACCCGCTCGCGCGTGCGGGGCGAGGCACTGGAAGCCGGCGTCGCTCAGCGACATCAACAGCCTGCCGCCGCAGCTGGGCATGACGTTGAGAGTGGCGTCGGTGGCACTGACCTGCGCCCAGGCACGCAAACCCCGCTCCTCCTCCTCCTCCTCCTCCTCCTCCTCCTCCTCCTCCTCCTCCTCCTCCTCCTCCTCCTCCTCCTCCTCCTCCTCTCCTCCTCCTCCTCCTCCTCCTCCTTCCTCTTCTTCTCCTCTCCTTCTCCTCCTCCTCCCTCGCCTCCCTCCTCCTCCTCCTCCTCCTCCGCCTCCTCCTCCTCCTCCTCCTCCTCCTCCTCCGCCTCCCCCTCCGCCTCCGCCTCCTCCTCCTCCTCCTCCTCCTCTCCTCCTCCTCCTCCTCCTCCTCCTGTTCCTCTTCCTCCTCCTCCCTCCTCCTCCTCCTCCTCCTCCTCCTCCTCCTCCTCCTCCTCCTCCTGTTCCTCCTGTTCCTCATCCTCCTCCTCCTCCTCCTCCTCCTCCTCCTCCTCCTCCCCTCCTCATCCTCCTCTTCCTCCTCCTCCCTCCTCCTCCTCCTCCTCCGCCTCCTCCTCCTCCTCCTCCTCCTCCTCCCCCCTCCCTCCTCTCCTCCTCCTCCTCCTCCTCCTCCTCCTCCTCCTCCTGCTCCTCCTCCTCATCCTCCTCCTCCTTCTTGGCACCTGTGCCACTGGGACCCCTTCCCGGGAAAACAGGCGGGTAGCAGCCCGATTGTCACCCTTGTTTGCCCGTATGGGACCAAGGGGAGAGAAAGTTGCTCCTCGTCGCCAGCGGCCACCCATGGAGAGGGTGGTGGGTAGGTTGGGCGTCGGAGCACGGCCCCCGGCGCCCCCTGCCACGAACAGGGCCCGCGGAGCACGGTTTCCTTGCGTGCCCTGTTTCGCGCACCGTTCGCGCCGTGGGGGCATGGCCCTGGACCGTCGGCGCGACGTTGGCATGCATGTCTGGCTGTGCAGGCGATTTGAAGTGCTTACTGCGGCACGCCGTGTGAGAGCAGCGCAGCGGTAAAAATCCTCTCCTCCTCCTCCTCCTCCTCCTCCTCCTCCTCCTCCTCCTCCTCCTCCTCCTCCTCCTCCTCCACCACTCTTCCCCCTCATCCTCCTCGTGTCCTGGCCGCCTTGGGCGCTGGCGTCTGGCTCACAGGCACCAGGCGTCTCGCACAGGCAGCATGTGAAAGGAGAGGAGATGGGCAGGGCCGGGTCGGATCGACCATCTACGAGAAAAATTTGGCTTTGCTCTTTGGGGGAGGCGAAAAAAATTGAACGCCCAGAATGGCCGCGGGAAAAAAGGAGTACGATACCCAACAGCAGTATCCAAAACCGACAGCGGCCGCTGCTGGGCAGGCGTCCTTCCGTCTCACATGAGCAACGCCCGCGACGACGCCGACAGCGAGGCCTGTCCGAAACGAACAGGGCATGCTGCCGGTCTGCGTGCCCATTCTTGCGGGGCACGGCCAGATCGGACAGTGAGTCCACGAGGCGGGGGGTGGGCAGGGCCGGATCGGATCGGATCGGCCGTCCACGAGAGAAGTTGGGCGTTGCTCCATGGGGGGGGCGGTACACTTTTTTTTGTTCAGAATGATGACATCGGACAGACGGCAGTGCAGGTGAGCAATCAGCGCCGATCCACTCAGCTGTATGCGGAGGCACGCAGCAAAGAGTGGGGCGATACGAACCAACCCCAAAGCGTCATTGTCAAAGCCACTGGGGAGGTGAGGAGGGGGAGGAGAAAGGAAGGACAAGGTAAAGCAAATTGGACGCGATGATGAGTGGGGCGAAGAAACATACACCATTGGTGCACCTTTGGGGCCCCAGGGGGCAGAAGGCAGGAGAGCCAAGAATCGAATCGACAAGTCGGATCGGCGATTGACATGAATCGGATCGACGGGAATCGGCAGCCGAGTCGGGAAAAGTCGACTCGGCAGACATCGGCTGGCTACTAGGCCTCCATTGGGAAATCTGAGCCCAAATCGGACCTCGAAATCGGATCGAATCGGAATCGGAAGCCATCGAGATCGAATCGAATCCAATCGAATCGGAGGAATCGAAACAAGCCCTGAAAAGGTGCACCTTCTTCACCCACTTTTCAGCGCCCGAAGAAGGGTCAGGCCCTTTCTGATGGATGAGCGTCGAGCCCATGTGGGCCCAGCGGTCGTGGAGAGGGCCGAGGGGAGAGAGGCGGGGTCCAGGAGTCCAGGGGGGAAGGGGGAGGAGGAGGAGGAGGAGGAGGAGGAGGAGGAGGAGGAGGAGGAGCAGGAAGAAGGAGGAGGAGGAGGAGAGGGAGAGGAGGAGGAGAAAAAGGAGGGTGCCACCGTGACGGCCGACCACAATCAACGCCAGCCGGCCACCCGCACTCAGTGCTGGCCTGCCCAGGACCTGGGGCGTGGCGAGCCTGGGCCCAGGGCGATTTTGTGTTCCGCCAGGCACCCCGACGTCCTTTTTGGTTTCTGCGTGCGAAGCGATATCCCTCGAAACAACAGCCATAGGGATGGACACTGGCCCAGTGCAGCTGCAAAGCAAGCAGTAGGAACCCTCTAGGCACGCCCAGGGGGAGGGGTGCATCATTGACGTCCTCGTGGATGTCCTCGTTGTCGTCCTCCTCCTCCTCCTCCTCCTCCTCCTCCTCCTCCTCCTCCTCCTCCTCCTCCTCCTCCTCCTCCTCCTCCTCCTCCTCCTCCTCCTCCTCCTCCTCCTCCTCCTCCTCCTCCTCCTCCTCCTCCTCTCCTCCTCCTCCCTCCTCCTCCTCCTCCTCCTCCTCCTCCTCCTCCTCCTCCTCCTCCTCCCCTCCTCCTCTCCTCCTCCCTCCTCCCTTCATACCTCCCTCCTCGCCCCCTCCCTCCCTCCCTCCCTCCCTCCCTCCCTCCTCCTCCTCCCTCCTCCCTCCTCCCTCCTCGCTCCTCGCTCCTCCCTTCATCCCTCCTCCTTCCTCCTCATCCTTCCTACCTCCTCCTCCCCCTCCTCCTCCTCCTCATCATCATCATCATCCTCCTCTTCCTCCTCCTCCTCCTCCTCCCTCCTCCTCCTCCTCCTCCTCCTCCTCCTCCTCCTTGTCTTCCCTCCTCCTCCTCCCTCCTCCCGCCTCCTGCTCGGTCCAAAAGCTGCCTTCAATCGCAGGTCCTTCGCACCGCCTGCGTGAGAAAGCCTGCCGAATCGAACGCCATACGTAGAGGTACGGAAGGCCGACCGCCCGCCGGCTCGCGCAATGGAGTCGCTCGGCGTCTCGTGTAGACGGCACGCATCGTCGAACCGATCGAATCGCGAACGCCCTGCGACCGACGACCACGACGACGACGACGACGACGACGACGACGACGACGACGACGACGACGACGACGACGACGAGCCACGTGGCCCACAGGAGGCAAGTCGGGGCCCAAGCGCCCCGTCGTGACCTGGCTGCTGGAGACGGCCCCGAAACCCCGAGGGCCGTCAGAGACATCCGAGAGCCCTCGAGGAGCCGCCTGGGGCCGCCGAAGACCGCCGAGCAAAAACGCCCACGCACGGCAGCGTGCCTGCTACTGGAGCAGGCGCCTGCGGGCCGCTCGCGTGCGCGAGGGCGCGGGACACCCGCCCGCGGCTGCACAAGCTCCGCAGCGACGTGCCTGAGCCGAACCAGACAAGGAGCAAAACGGCGCTGCGAGGGGTGGCCCTGGCCCGAAGTGGCCCCAGCGCTCCGCAGTGAGGCCCCTTACACCCTCCAAAGGCACTCCTCGACAGCGAGGCCCAGGCTGCCAAAGTGGGGCCAAAGTGGGGCCACAGGCTGGGGGCACCTGGGGCCAAGACCGACCCTGGCTTTAGACGCCCGAGCTTGGTAGGGAGAAAATGAGCACCATGCCCAACAGCGACGGTTGTCCGAAGCCGACAGTGTCCGCTGTTGGGCAGACTTTTCTCTCAAATGGACAACGCCCGCAGCAGCACCGACAGCGAGTCCAGCTCAAAATAAGCAGGGGCTGCTGTGGGTGTTCGTACCCACTCGTTCCGTACCCATTTTAGATCGCACCGACTGGCAGCCTCCCCCCGACAGGGGCTCCACAGTAGCACCACAAGTTGTAGGGAACCTTGGGCCAGGACCACTGCGGGGAAACATTGGGGGGGGGACCATATCATGAGGAACAGCGGGGACCGCAGCACGACGAGCTTGAGCCATGCCGGTTCTAAGAGGAGGAGGAGGAGGAGGAGGAGGAGGAGGAGGAGGAGGAGGAGGAGGAGAGGAGGAGAGGAGGAGGAGGAGGAGGAGGAGGAGAGGAGGAGGAGGAGGAGGAGGAGGAGGAGGGACGAGGAGGAGGAGGAGGAGGAGGCGGAGGAGGAGGAGGAGGTGGAGGAGGAGGAGGAAGAGGAGGAGGTGTGGTGATGGTGGAGGCAAGGGAAGGAGAAGAACGGGGAGGTGGATGAGGGAGGAGGGGGAAGGGGGAAGGGGAGGAAGGGGGAGGGGTGTCGTCGGAAGCTCATCCTGCTACTCCTGCTGCGTTTCCTGTCCCTCATCCCCATCCTGTCACGGGAGGAGGCCCTGCAACCGCGTCTGGCCTGAGCGATACTGATCGACAAAAGATGAAGTCGTCATGACGAATCACTGCAGCGCAAACGTACACGTTCCTATCCTTCCTCGTCCATCCTCCATCTGCCTCCACCTCCTCCTCGTCCTCCTCACCCTCTTCCTCCCTTCACGAAGATGCTCTGCAAAAAGCCATAGCAAATCGCCCGTGTGATGGATCATCGCCATCCTATCAATTGCTGGCATGCCCAACCGGTCGACCCGTGTTTGCGCAACTGAAGCAACACCCAGCCCAGGAAGGTCAGGAACGCATGCTTCGATCTTGGCATCATTCAACGGCAAGTTTCATTGGCGGGCAAGGTTCCTTATGTTGTCTTCCCTACACTTCTTCCAACTGGACATGACATTGCGTCATCGTGAACCCAAACCTCTTCTCACGCCATTCCTTCTGCGACAAGGACAACTGATTACCCTCACCACAGCGGGAAGCA